TTTCTTTTCCTTTTCCTTTCCCCTTCTGGTGGAAGTCGTTCATCTTCCCCTTGCCGTTGCCTTTCCATGGTTGTCCCGCTATCAGCAGCCGCATCTTCTGCTCGGTCGCCTGCTCCTTTGTGGCCATCAGGGTCTCGTCCTTTCCTACCAGGTTCACTCCCTCGGGAGGAATCAACTCCAAGTGCTGAGCACGGCTCCACGCTTGATCTGACAGGTAGAGCTCTAGAGACTTCACCCTCTGGCCGAGGATGTCCCCGGCTGATTCCGGGTTAGTTTCCGTTTGCTATCAGGTCGAGAGCTTTGCACAATGTCCTCAGCTCCCGGCTTGTCCTCAAGTTCATCTTCTCGCGGTACTGGGGGATCAACACCGTGAGAAAATACGATGTTGCCGTGGCCGGAGTCAGGTTGCGCTCGGTCTTCGCTTGCATGGGCCCCTCCTGCCGAGCTAGAATCTCTTGCATCCTTTGCAACAGCCGTGCCGCCAAGCGTCCCGGATGTTGCTCCGAGTACTCCTGAAGCTGAAGCTGACGCGACTTGTTGGAGGGGCCCGCCCGAAAATCCGATCCTGAATCCTCTTCATCATCCGAACTCCTTGAACCCGACCTCTCATCACCAAACTTGACACGGTGGCTGATTCGGCCTCCTGAGGATGTCCAAACCAAAGAGGTTCAGGAGCCTTGGCCTTTGCACGCTTCGCGGCCTTCGTGCGCTCAGCTTTCTTTCCAGAGACCTCTTCTTCATCACGCTTCTTTTTCTTCTTGGGTTCTCCTCCATGGCGATCATCGCCTGCTTCCTTTCCACTTACGGCCTTTTTCAAAGCCGCCAACCTTCCAGGGATATCCTCGCCCGTGGGCGCCCCCTTGTCTTCCACCCTTTCATCTCCTTCCCAATCCAGCCGCTCTGGACCGGGGTCGCGGCCCCCGCCCTTGCTTGCGGGGTCATAGGGTTCAGTCGTCCCAGCCAAATTGGCAATCTCCTTGTCAATGTCATCCTTCACGTCGCCCTGCGAGAACCAAGTCACTCGTCGTGCCAGGATGTCACCCGCCTGGACGTCACGGAATGTATCCGAATGGAACTCCTTCTCGCGATTGCGTTTTGCCTTCCTACACTCACCCGCCGGTGTCGCACATAGGTGGACGACAAATTTCCTGTTGTACCCCTTTCCTGGGCCCTTTGTTAACCACCATTGGAGGTGCTCATCAGTGGCCGCAATGAGCTTTCCGGACAGCCAGATTCCCTCCTTCTTCTTCTCGATCAAATGATCGATCTGCCATAGTGCCGTTCCTTGTGGCTGTCCTTCCCCATCGACCTGTTCGAGCTCAACGTAGCCACCTTCTGCCACGCTAAGCTCTTTGAAATAATCCAGGTTCCTTGGAAGATGTATCCAAGGACCTAGCATCTCGCCCGCAGGCGTCCCACCAGCCCGCGGGCGCCCACACCAAAAGCCTTGAGAACAAAACGGCAATGAGCATAAAAACTCGTGCCTGCACTGCGTTTAGAACACTCGTGGCAATATAGGTATTCACGCCTAACTGACCAAACGTCGGATTTAAAAACTCGAAGGCAACAAATAAAGCGGCATTGCATCATCAAACATACATATACATACACATAAACAATTTTGTAATATAATTCCATCGAACACCGTCAAATTCAAAACAACGACTGTCCTCTGCTGCCTCGAAAAGCTGTTGTCGCACCTGTCACAAAGACTCGGTAGAGTTGTGGACAACTATCCGACGTTGATTCCATCACGAGTGATTGGACAGCTGTCCAACCGTTTGGAAACAACTGGTTGGATGGTTGTGATATGTTGTGGTAAATGTCCATCTTTATGCGTCAAGATTGGACTCAACTTGAAACCCAAATTGCGATCCGTTTAGCACGTGTCAAGAAGCAATCCGCCTTGGAACCGGCTTCATCCATGACATCGATGGCCTTGGTCTTCATGTGTGTCCGTAACCAAACCTTTCGAAAATGGTGGTGTGGAACATGGTGGAACCATTCCTCGTCACCATCGACAGCCCTGTCAGAATCGAGGAAAAGCGCCAGATGGGGCGCCACATAAGTCGGAGGAGACGTGGCGCTGTTTCGGTCTCTTGCACCAAAATTTGTTGTACAGTATGTCTAGCTCTTCCTGAAGAGCCTTCTCGGCCTCTAGCTCTTCCTGTTTTGGCATCGCTACTTGATTTGCCGTGTCCCATTCTTTCAATCCTCATTGTCTCCACCTTATATTCCACTCACTAGTCCTCATTTCTTCGACTTTAGGCTTTGGGCCTTGTCCGGCAAGCAGCGGTCAGCTATGAACTGGTTGGCAAGCTTCACACATGCTTCCAAAGCCTCCAACAACACGCAGCTGTGCTGATTCTTCAAGAGGAAACAGTTGGCAAGAACTCTGGAGACTCAGGTGGGGGATTCGGGACATGATATACACAACGATACATGATGAAAAAGAAAGAACATGCCTCTGGTGCATATTGCAATTGATGGTGCCGTTCGTACCTCGACCACATGGGTGAAGCCAGGAGCGATTGAATTGCTGAAGCCCAAATGGTTTCAACTGGCCAAGGGGAAGCCAAATCATTGCCCACCAAGGCTTCAAAAGCCTTAAACTCCACACTGATTAGCCAGGTTGCTTTGGAGCCAGCCCTTTGAGGATTTGAACCTGCTGCGTTGTTCAACTGCTTGTCTGCAACGCGAGGAAACAAAAGAAAGCGCCTGAAAATATAAAACTATATATATATATACCGTATATAATTGCACTGGCATAGACAAATCAAAATGGCATGAATGAAGCGCATGCTGATATTCAATGTGCGATGAGTTTGGCGTGTACCAGCCAGCATCTTGCACAGTGCACCTCCTGCAATTCATCATTGCTCATGTAAATCCCATAATGTATAGAAAGCATACAATGTAAAGCATACAAAGCGCATTGTATATAATTTACAGTACTGCCGATGCTCTTGGTGCTTCGCGTAGTTGTTAGCCGATTGGATCAAAAAAGTTGTGGGCACTTCTGAACTTGGGACCCAAGGCGCGAAGACACGCAAACAAACAGAGAGAGAGAGAGAGAGTGCGAGAGTGCGAGCACGCCAGCCCAAAGGTTTCAAGGAAAGCACATGTGTGCGACCGCTACAGGACCAAACGACGCGTAACTTGTCGGGGTGGATGTTTTGTTTCTTGGCTTCAGCTTCAAGAACTCGAGACCTTTCTTAGTAGTAACAAGTGCCACGCTAGTAGTAACAGGTGCCTTACTAGTAGTAACAAAAAGCTATTAATTTAAAATTAGTTACTACTAGTAAGGCACTTGTTTCTAGCTGTTTTGTTTCTTGGCTTCAGCTTCAAGAACTCAAGACCTAGCTCCTTCTTCAAAAGCCCCACTTGTCCGTGAGGCCAACACGTGAGCTCACCTTTACAGTCAGCACTTCACCACCACATCAAATCTCCACACATCAGATCTGTCGCGTGTCACGGTATGGACAGTGATCAAATGTTCAAACCAAATCAACACCAGCAACACCAGCGCAGGAAATCGTCACTTCACCACATCACAATTCACCGACATCATAATTTGGTGTCCCCATGCACAGTCACCACAGTCACACATGCAAAAAGCTCCTAAACTTGGCTTCACTGCCCACTTTAGCCGCTAGCCCACTGTATGATCAAAGCGATGCTTCTGGGATAGTCACAATGATTGACAACGTACACCTATATATTCGATTCTATTCCTCCTATGCTTCTCATCGATCCTTCCTGGATGAACCGGCCAACCGACGGTGACCGTCTGAGGCTCCCGACGGATTCCTCTTCACTGGGCTCCGGCACGGTGACCTCCACGACTAGCGGGCGGGCGAGACCGCCCGTCGTCCGAACTCGACCAGAGCCGGTCTCGCCCGTCTGAGAGGGGGGACGGGTTGAAAGCGGCGCTCCAAAGCCGGGTCCTTCTCGATGTACTTGCGATACCTCCATTTGTTGGCCAACCGGACAGAACCACGGAACATCTTGGAAGCTCCATTGTTGGGCAGCGCACCCACAGCGTGCGAAGCACACAAGGATGAGAAAAACAGGAAAAATAACATCTCCAAGGCAGCCAAACTTGACCACTATCCGGGTGGTCGCGCACGCGCGTAGTTTGCAAAGGTTAATGAACGGTTAATGTTCATCGTCTTCGTTTCGCATGGTCCCTCAAATCTAGAACTGCCTTGGGCTCGAATTTGCAACAGCTGGCGCAAGCAGATACACTCTTCCAGATATACGTGTCCCGGGGTGCATTTGGGACTAGTCCCTAACATGTTCAGCTCTAGAGCGGTATTTCCCGGGGAATAACCGGAGAAAACGGTATCATAATGATTTTGAACATGGCCCAACATGCCTCGAAAAAACTGCTAACCTGTCCCATCCCAGAAGAGATGCCCACTTTTGGAGCGGGCTATGTTAGCCTTTTTTGGGGCAAAATCTCAATGGTTCTGAAATTCGTGAACGGACATGTTAGCGTGGTCCGTGCAAACATGTCCACCAAGACACCAAAGCAAGGGCAGTCGCAGGCCATGTTAACTAACCATGGCGTCCCTGATTTTTTTCCGCAGACTGCTCTGACTGCTCTGGTCTTTCCCTGTTGGATCCCTGGGTTTGTTCTGCTTGGTGCACGTGCCGTCACTGTTCTGGGAAAGCTCAGTGGGAAGCTTGCAAAAACGGCAATGCCAAGCACGTGCACCGCTGTACAAGTCTCATCCACACTAACATGGCCGAGTGGCACAAAACACAAAACAGAAACACACACACACATTGCAATCAGTTGTTGTTGGTACAAATGCCACAGTAGTTCAATGGCCCGATCATGCAACAGAACACCCTCCAGACTGCTGCACAGATCCAAGAATCTCAAGAAACAACAAAATTGTTCAACTGAGGTAGAAGTGGGTCAGGTTAGGTAACACAAGGTGTTTGGTCAAGATACCAACAGCCACATCCAAAAAAAGAATACATAAAATCACTTAGCAGCCTTCAGGTGTTTCAAATTCATCTTTCAACTTTTGGAAGTGAGTTTTGGCCTGTTCGTCACCTGAATTCACGAGAAGATATTGACGCCAGAGTGCCATCAAAGCAATCAGCAAAGCCGCCTTCTCAGATCTCAAGCCTGGGCCCCAAGAAGGAGCTCTGTTGCCTCCAGCCCAAGAAGCATGCCACTGATTTGTGCTGTTGTGATAGAAAATGCCAGCTCCTGCAAGGTCTGGAAGGCGTGTCAGGTCCTTCTCAGAAAGAGCAACAAAAGCAGCTCGGTGCATGAAACTTGCTGGCGGCTTAGCGCGGCTGCACTTGTCATCCTCAGACACAACCATCGCTACAAACTGATCGCGGTCCATGTTAGCAATGTCTCGGTCAACATCTCCTTCATCGTTCCCCAATTCATGCAAAAGAGGCCCAAAAGCATCTGTGGCAAATGCCGCCTGCTGCAACATCTGGATGTGGTCCTGCAAGGGTTCTGGACCTTTCTCTGAACCAGGTGCAATTGCAGCTGCAGGATCAGGCATCTTGCTCTCGACCAAAGCCAGCTCTTGTCCTGATGTGGTGACAACTGGACACGTTAGACTTCATCAAGTTTGAAGAGATTGAAACAAACGCAGTCTTTGGAAAGGGACCCCAAGGATCATATTGAAGGACAAAAACCGGTCCTTCAAGTCCAGCTTCGTCTCCAACACAAGTAACTGAGGACTCCGCATCCGATGCTCCAGCTTCCTCATCTTGCTCGAAGTCGTTTAACATGTGCTCATAGCCCACTAGCACTGAGGCTATCTTGCAACGCTCATTTCCACCACGTAGGTCCCAGCACCTGACCCTACGCTGTGGTGCTGCCGAAGCTAAATTCAAGAAGACTTCTGGATCCTTCCCTATAGTCCTGAAGGTGAACATCATAGTCCAAGGAGCTGACTTCTTGGCAGATTTGTTTTTCCAGATTGGAATGCCGTCAGCCGAGCGGGTCACCATCCGGGACACCCAATCTTGTGTCGCTACGTGTCCTGTCCGGCTATTCATCACCATGTAGCGTGAATGGTTCTTCAAAGACTCGTATGCAGTCCTTGCCTTGATTGTATGTGCAGCTGTCTCATTCTCATCACTTGCACGCAATTGAATGTAGGAATCTTTGGCCACCTGTAGCTGATGCATGTGGATGGCAAGAGTCCTGACGAAGGCAGAAGCTATCTCATATGGCAATGCTTGCCACTCGGAGTTGTCATCCTGACACAGTTCAGTAGAACCGCTGAGAGAACATGGCAAAAGATGACGTAATGCAACAGGGGCATGCACCTGGATATGTTAGTAACACGAGTCGAGTCAAACAAATCCCGAAAACTCAGGCCTGAATCTGCCACTCATAGCACATGCATCTTTGTGGTGTCCAGTTCTTGCCAAATGGAGTGAACAGGTCACTCAGAGTAGTTTGCGCTTCCTCGATGATCCTGCGAGTGTCCCCAGGAGCTAGCAAGTCCATGTGCGCAACGTCAACGTAGCCACAGCTGATCCATGCTGCAGTGAAAATAGATCGCTCCAGGGATTGCCATGCTGTCACCGTCAATTCCAAGACCTCCGTGTGCGACCGAACCTCCACTGCCACCTGACCAGAAGCCCTCAGCGAAAGGTCTTCAAATCCTGAGGTAGATGGATCTACCTTTGGTGAATGGGACATGTTAGTGGCTTACAGAATGTGCAGTGTGAGGCAATTGACTGGATATATCTTGGAATACAACATACACTATATAGTACAGTAGCACTCTCAAGATGGAGTGCCCTCAGATGAGTTGTCTTGGTGGGACATGTGAGTGGAAAGTAGCATCGTGGCCCACCTTTAGGAAACGTTTGGGAAAAGCAACTATCAAGAATCTACAACATAGAATGCACCAAACTACAAATATTGGTGGCCACGTTAGCTGACCCAATACTGTGACTCTCTGATTGCAGACTAGGCTCGCGGTCGGTTTCTTAAGTCTCCGCAGAACCCCAACGAGCTCATGTCCAATGACCGAATTCGATTCCTGAACATGCTATGCACCTGGTCGCAAGGTTGCCCATGGGAGCTCCACCCACCTGGTGGCTTGGTGGGTGCAACAATGTTGTGTAGCTCATAAAATGCATCTCGCCGGAGTTGCTCTCCATGGCCTGCAGAGAAGAAGCCCGACCAAGCATCGCAAAGGAAATGAGCACGAGCGTCTGGAGATTGCGCGTCAAGGTTGTACCTCCGACAATCCAGAAAGGCATCCCTAACATGTCCCAGGGGGAGCAAGTCCTGATCATTGAGCACAAAATGTTGAAGGCCTATGGCACATGCGGCACATTGTAAAAGAACACACAAATTGCCCCTATCATAGCCCACCCTGCATGCCTGGATCGTTGTTTTGCAAGAGCAACCGAATACAGCTGTTCGTATATGTAAAGGACCACATCTGCCGTTGTGAAGTGTGTGGCTGAACCGGAGCTCAGCACCAAAGCTTCTCCCACGTGTGAGTGGTTGAACGCAACCATGTCTTGTTGGCTCATACGGCCCTCACCCACACAAAAAGCCAGCGGCCCTGGCTGTCCGTCGGACCATACGCTTGTCATTACCTGAGGCTGAGGCTAAAGCTGCAAGTATGTGTGAGGGAAATGCAGGTCCACACACCAGGGGACAGGTTAGGTATGCAGTAGTTTGTACAGTAATAGTGTATGCACAGTAGGTTTTCAGGAATACAGTAAGTATATAGGACTATGCAGTTCTAAAGGCTACTGAAGTGCATATGAGGCGCTGTGATGCCCTTTCGTGCTCCCTTTACTGTGTGCAATTGTTTTATCCACCTTCTTGGGAGCCTTGCTCTTGTGTGTCCTTTTCCCAACCTTGCTCCTGTCCTTGTAGAGCAGAGTCCCTCCAAATTGATAGCACGATCGCCAAAGCTGGTCAAAGTTCAAACAAAGTGCTGGGTGTACATGTCCTTCCTCCATCAGGCGCTTCAACCTGTCCCGTGATGCTTTCATGTCACTGTGGTCCCAAGGAAGCCAGCTTTGCGTATCTGATGAGCGTCCACCCCCATTCTTTCAAAAACCACCTCGCCCATCTTGAACTTGGCTTAGACAGCTTTGTTGGAACAGGCATCCAAGCTTTGATCACGGCTTGTACCTGAAGCTTCCCGGCGTTCAGGTCCTGCAGAAGTGCCTCATTTGCTGCCTTCACAGATGCGGCCATGTTAGTCACATTGCTGTTCCAATCATCCACAAGACCATGAATGGTCATGAGAACCTGCTCAGCAGTGACAACTTCTTTTCTCTCTGATACATCGCTGGCACCGGCAGTCATCTCCATAATAAGCACATCAAGTTCTCGCTGAAGCTCCAAAGGTACTCCTCCACCTTCATTCCGTCCTCTCAAAGGGGCACCCACCTTGCGCCGCCATTCATTCGACGTAGTGGTTTCACGGGCTGCAACTGCTTCTGGAAGGTCACGCCAATGTTCCAGCACTGATGCAGCTTGCCACCTCTCCACCCTTGCCTTTCCAACGATGTTTGGAAACTTCGAGGCGCATTCCTGGCTGATCTTTTTCTTGAGAATCGACTTTGCCTTTTTTCTTGCACGCCTCGCAGCACTCCTCTCTTCTGGTGACAGGTTGAGTTCCACTGGGCTGTTGTTTGTCAGGTCAGCCTGTCTCCGTTCCTGCAACAGCTCATCTCGAAAGTTCAAAACCATCAGCTTGTCCTTGATCGTGATTGTTCGTCTTGGTTTGGTAAGCGGCACATCCCAAACACCATTGTCCAAAGTTGATCTTTTCCGCTTCAAGCCAACTTTGGCAGTCTTGCGCCTTTTCAACTGTGTTTTGGCATGCCAAGCTTGTCTTCGCCTTTTCCTTAGAAATCAGGGGTTGGCATGGCCAATTTAACAAAGAGGTCCAAAAGGGGGAACAAAACCTTACCATTTGGAGTTTAGGGCGTCCAAAACCCGTGTTGGTGAGTCCACCAATTTTGTATAAATCCCTTACTTAAAAATGCTC